CCTGGACCCCGCATTCACTTATATCCGCTCTCCCCGGACCCCGCATTCACTATATCCGCTCTCTCCCCGGACCCTGCATTCACTATAACCCCTCTCCCCGGACCCCGCATTCATTCACTATATTCCGCTCTCCCCGGACCCGCATTCACTATCTCCCCGGACCCCGCATTCACTATAGTGCTCCCCGACCCCGCATTCACTATATCCGCTCTCCCCGGACCCCGCATTCACCTATACCCGCCCGCTCTCCCCGGACCCGCATTCACTATATCCGCTCTCCCCCCGGACCCCGCATTCATATATCCATTGGTCCCCCAGACCCCGCCACCCCCTCACTTATCCGCTCTCCCCGGACCCCGCATTCACTATATATGGGTCTCCCCGGGACCCCGCATTCACTATATCCGCTCTCCCTGGACCCCGCATTCACTATACCCGCTCTCCCCGGACCCCGCATTCACTATACCCGCTCTCCCCGGACCCCGCATTCACTATATCCGCTCTCCCCGGACCCCGCATTCACTATATACCCGCTCTCCCCCGGAACCCCGCATTCACTATATCCGCTCTCCCCGGACCCCGCATTCACTATATCCGCTCTCCCCGGACCCCGCATTCACTATACCGCTCTCCCCGGACCCCGCATTCACTATACCCGCTCTCCCCGGACCCCCGCATTCACTATTCACCCCCCTCCCCCCCCCCCCTCCACCGCCCCCCCCCCCCGCCCTATACCCGCTCTCCCCCCCCCCGCATTTCCCTATACCCTTCCCCCCGGACCCCCCCGCATTCACTATACCCGCTCCCCCCGGACCCCGCATTCACTTACCGCCTCTCCCCGGACTAATACCTGCCCCCCCGCATTCACTCATACCCGCTCTCCCGGACCCCGCATTCACTATATCCGCTCTCCCCGGACCCCGCATTCACTATATCCGCTCTCCCCGGACCCGCATTCACCCCTCTCCCCGGACCCCGCATTCACTATATCCTCTCTCCCCGGACCCCGCATTCACTATATCCCCTTCCCCCCAACCCCTCCCCCCCACCCCCCCCCCCCCCCCCCCCCCCCCCCCCCCCACCCCCCCCGCTCACCCCTCCCCTTCCCGCTCTTCCCCTCCCCCCGGACCCCCCCCCGGCATTCACTATATCCGCTCTCCCCGGATCCGGCATTCACTATATCCGCTCTCCCCGGACCCCGCATTCACTCTATCCGTTCCCCCCCCCCCGGAAACCCCCGACCCCCATTCACTGTATCCTCTCTCACCCCGGACCCCGCATTCACTATATCCCCCTCCCCCACAGTACACAGAATATGGAAAATGCAATTATTTTAGTAATATAAACTGCTAAATCCCTTTTCTCATCAGCAGTATATAGTAATCTTGTGACTTCTCTCAGTGTCCAGCAGAGCACTGGTTAAAGCTTGTGGGATGAGTTTTGTCTAGGAGGATGCAGAACCCCTGACCTCTGTCTGGAGAGTGTGTGTTGATTGGCCCTGTGCTGATCACATGCATTCTCCCAAAGGAGAAAAAAAATCCTCTCTAGCAATACAAACCAAACTGAGCATGTGCAGAGTGACTCCACATGATGTGTCTTATCAGGAGATAAGAGGGGGGGACACTGTAAGAAGGGGAGGATCAGAGAAGACAGGATCAAACAAATGCAGAGGAAAAACCCCTTAGGTCCCACAATGAGTATAACAAGCATGCTTTACTGCATCTACAGACTGATGTCACTGTTGTGGGTTCAGGAACTCTTTAACCGCAGCCCAAAATGGATCCATCCAAGAGCCCGGCTGGCCACAGCACTTGCCTTGTGTCGGATTGTTGTGGCTGGCCATGCTCTTGGATGGATCCATTCTGGGCTGTGATTAAGATCTCCTAGCTGCCCTCTGGATCTCTACATTTATGGTTGGCTCTTTTTTCCCTTTTGGGAACTCTCCACTATGTAAACAGTGCTGTGAAAAAGTATTTGCCCCCTTCCTGATTTTTTTTTTTATTATTATTTGTTACATTTAAATGATTGATCCAACAAAATGTTAATATGACAGAAAGATAACCCGAGGAAATAAAAAATGCAGTTTTTAAATGATGATCTCATTTATTAAGGGAAAAAGCTGTGTAAACCTGCCCGGCCCTGTGTGAAAAAGTAATTGCCCCCTTAAACATAATATCTGGTTGGGCCACCCTTGGCGGCAACAACTGCGGTCCAGCGTTTGCCATAACTGGCGATGAGTATTTCCCGTCGCTGTGGTGGAATTTTGCCCGATCTTCTTTGCAGAATTCTTTTTCATTTGGCCACATTGGAGGGTTTTCCAGCCTGTTGAAGGTCATGCCACAGCATCTCAATTGAATTTAAGTCCGGACTTTGGCCACTCCAAAACCTTCATTTTGGTTTTTTTTGAGCCATTCAGAGGTGGACTTGCTGGTGCGTTTCGGATCATTGATCTGCTCCATAACCCAAGTGCGCTTGAGCTTGAGGTCAGGAAGGGACGGCTGGACATTCTACTTCAGGATTTTCTGGTAGAGCGCAGAATTCCTGGTTCCACCAATGATGGCAAGTTGTCCAGATCCTGAACCCAGACCATCACACTACCACCGCCATGTTTCACTGTTGTTCACCTAACCACCTGCCCCCTGGACCCTGTTGCCTCACAAATACCCCGGTCATCCTCTGGCTCTATCCTTTATTCTTTAACTTGTATCTTCAATCTCTCTTTTTCTACTGGCATCTTCCCCAACTCTCTAAAACATGCGTTAGTCATCCCCATACTTAACATGGCCTCACTGGACCCCGCCAATCTTGGCAACCTAAGACCCATCTCCTTCTCACTGGACCCCGCCAATCTTGGCAACCTAAGACCCATCTCCTTCTCACTGGACCCCGCCAATCTTGGCAACCTAAGACCCATCTCCTTCTCACTGGACTCCACCAATCTTAACAACCTAAGACCCATCTCCTTCTCACTGGACTCCACCAATCTTAACAACCTAAGACCCATCTCCTTCTCACTGGATCCACCAATCTTAACAACCTAAGACTCATCTCCTTACTCCCTTTTGCCTCCAAACTCATTGAACGTCTAGTCTACAACCAGCTGAGCTGCCACCTTATTGAGAATAACCTTTTTGATCCCCTTTAGTCTCGATTTCGCTCACAACACTCCCCACAGAAACTGCTCTGCTAAAAACCCACAAACGACTTACTAACTGCTAAAACCAATGGTCGCTATTCCATACTCTTGCTCTTGGACCTCTCTGCTGCCTTTGACACAGTTGGCCACTCTATTTACTTGGTCTCCATGACTGTACTCTCTGTTGGTTCGAATCTCACCTATCTCACGGCACCTTCAGTGTCACTTACAACTCTACTTCCTCCTCCCCAACTCCTCTTACTGTCGTGGTTCCCCAAGGTCCTGTCCTTGGACCTCTCCTCCTCCCCCCTTACTGTTGGGGTCCCCCCCAAAGTTCTGTCCTTGCCTTCTCCTCCTCCTCTTACTGTGGGGGTCCCCCAAGTTTCTGTCCTTGGACCTCTCCTCCTCTTACTGCCAGGGTCCCCCAAGGTTTTGTCCTTGGACCTCTCCTATTTTCCATCTACACTTCTTCTTCCTTGGGTCAGCTGATAGCTTCCCATGGTTTCCAATACCATTCTATTCTGATGACACACAAATCTATCTCTCTACTCCTCAGCTCACCCCATCCGTTTCCTCACATATCACCGATTTACTAACAGACATACCAGACTGGATGTCACTCCACTTCTTAAAAACTAAATCTATCCAAAACTGAACTCATAATATTACCTCCCCCCACGTGCCTCTTTCCCCTGATTTCTCGGTCAGGATCAATAGCACCATCAACCCATCCCTGCATGCCGGGGTGCTGGGGGGAACCTTGGATTCTGAACTATCCTTTCAGGCCCACAACCAATTCCTGTTCAAATCATGGCACCTCAACCTCCGCAACATCTCCAGAATACACCCCTTTTTTAACCAATGACACCACAAGCTCCTAATTCACTCCTGGTTATCTCTCGCCTCGACTACTGCAACTCCCTCCACATTGGACCTTTACATAGGCCACCTCCCGTCCAGTCCATCATGATTAGTGCTTCCAGGGTCATCCAGGGTCATCCACCTTACCACCTGTTCAGTGTCTGCTACCCTTCTCAGCCAATCCCTCCACTGGTCTCCATTCAGTGTCCTCCACCCCTCTCTGCCAATCCCTCCACTGGCCTCCATTCAGTGTCCTCCACCCCTCTCTGCCAATCTCTCCACAGGTCTCCATTCAGTGTCCTCCACCCCTCTCTGCCAATCCCTCCACTGGCCTCCACTCAGTGTCCTCCACCTCTCTCTGCCAATCCCTCCACAGGTCTCCATTCAGTGTCCTCCACCCCTCTCTGACAATTCCTCCACTGGTCTCCATTCAGTGTCCTCCACCCCTCTGCCCCCTGCTAATCCTTCCACTGGCCCTCCATTCAGTGTCCTCCACCCCTCTCTGCCAATCACTCCACTAGCCTCCATTCAGTGTCCTCCACCCCTCTCTGCCAATCCCTCCCACTGGCGTCCATTCAGTGTCCTCCACCCCTCTCTGCCAATCTCTCCACTGGTCTCCATTCAGTGTCCTTCACCCCCTCTCTGCCAATCCCTCCACTGGCCTCCACTCAGTGTCCTCCACCTCTCTCTGCCAATCCCTCCACAGGTCTCCATTCAGTGTCCTCCACCCCTCTCTGACAATTCCTCCACTGGTCTCCATTCAGTGTCCTCCACCGGCCTCCATTCAGTGTCCTCCCCCCCCTCTCTGCCAATTACTCCACTAGCCTCCATTCAGTATCCTCCACCCCTCTCTGCCAATCCCTCCACCGGCCTCCATTCAGTGTCTGCTACCCCTCTCTGCCAATCCCTCCCCTAGCCTCTATTCAGTGTCCTCCACCCCTCTCTGCCAATCCCTCCACTGGCCTCCATTCAGTGTCTGCTACCCCTCTCTGCCAATCCCTCCACTGGCCTCCACTCAGTGTCCTCCACCCCTCTCTGCCAATCCCTCCACTGGCCTCCACTCAGTGTCCTCCACCCCTCTCTGCCAATCCCTCCACTGGTCTCCAATCAGTGTCCTCCACCCCTCTCTGCCAATCCCTCCACTGGTCTCCATTCAGTGTCCTCCACCCCTCTCTGCCAATTCCTCCACTGGTCTCCATTCAGTGTCCTCCACCCCTCTCTGCTAATCCCTCCACTGGCCTCCATTCAGTGTCCTCCACCCCTCTCTGCCAATCACTCCACTAGCCTCCATTCAGTGTCCTCCACCCCTCTCTCTGCCAATCCCTCCACCGGCCTCCATTTAGTGTCTGCTACCCCTCTCTGCCAATCCCTCCCCTAGCCTCCATTCAGTGTCCTCCACCCCTCTCTGCCAATCCCTCCACTGGCCTCCATTCAGTGTCTGCTACCCCTCTCTGCCAATCCCTCCACTGGCCTCCACTCAGTGTCCTCCACCCCTCTCTGCCAATCCCTCCACTGGTCTCCAATCAGTGTCCTCCACCCCTCTCTGCCAATCCCTCCACTGGTCTCCATTCAGTGTCCTCCACCCCTCTCTGCCAATTCCTCCACTGGTCTCCATTCAGTGTCCTCCACCCCTCTCTGCTAATCCCTCCACTGGCCTCCATTCATTGTCCTCCACCCCTCTCTGCCAATCACTCCACTAGCCTCCATTCAGTGTCCTCCACCCCTCTCTGCCAATCCCTCCACCGGCCTCCATTCAGTGTCTGCTACCCCTCTCTGCCAATCCCTCCCCTAGCCTCCATTCAGTGTCCTCCACCCCTCTCTGCCAATCCCTCCACTGGCCTCCATTCAGTGTCTGCTATCCCTCTCTGCCAGTCCCTCCACTGGTCTCCATTCAGTGTCCTCCACCCCTCTCTGCCAATGCCTCCACTGGCCTCCATTCAGTGTCCTCCACCCCTCTCTGCCAATCCCTCCACTGGTCTCCATTCAGTGTCCTCCACTCCTCTCTGCCAATCCCTCGACTGGCCTCCATTCAGTGTCCTCCACCCCTCTCTGCCAATTCCTCCACTCGTCTCCATTCAGTGTCCTCCACCCCTCTCTGCCAATTCCTCCACTGGTCTCCATTCAGTGTCCTCCACCCCTCTCTGCTAATCCCTCCACTGGCCTCCATTCAGTGTCCTCCACCCCTCTCTGCCAATCACTTCACTAGCCTCCATTCAGTGTCCTCCACCCCTCTCTGCCAATCCCTCCACCGGCCTCCATTCAGTGTCTGCTACCCCTCTCTGCCAATCCCTCCCCTAGCCTCCATTCAGTGTCCTCCACCCCTCTCTGCCAATCCCTCCACTGGCCTCCATTCAGTGTCTGCTATCCCTCTCTGCCAGTCCCTCTCCTCCACTGGTCTCCATTCAGTGTCCTCCACCCCTCTCTGCCAATCCCTCCCACTGGTCTCCATTCAGTGTCCTCCACCCCTCTCTGCCAATCCCTCCACTGGCCTCCATTCAGTGTCTGCTACCCCTCTCTGCCAATGCCTCCCACTGGCCTCCATTCAGTGTCCTCCACCCCTCTCTGCCAATCCCTCCACTGGCCTCCATTCAGTGTCTGCTACCCCTCTGCCAATCCTCCACAGGTTTCCACTCGCCAAACGAATAAAATTCAAAATACTAACAACAACTTACAAAGCCATCCACAACTCTGCCCCCGGCTACATCACCAACCTGGTCTCAAGATGTCAACCAAACCGCTGTCTTTGATCTTCCCAAGACCTTCTGCTCTCTATTTCCCATGTCACCTCCTCCATTCTCGGCTCCTGGACTTCTCCCGAGCTTCTCCCATCCTACGGAACTCCCTAACCCCATCTGTCCAGCTATTTCCTAATCTATCCATCCTTGAAAACCTCTCTCTTTAAAGAAGTCTATCCTGCTTCTGCCTAGTAAATCGCCATTTATTTCCTCCATCAGCCCATCCCCCCAGAGCTATTACTTTTTGTGTCACTCAACCCTTCCTCCTAGATTGTAAGCTCCCAGGATCAGGGCCCTCTGTTTCCACTGGTACCAAATTGTATTGTAACTGTCATGTTTGCCTTCATTTTGTACAGCGCTGAGCACACTGTTGGCGCCATATAAATCCTGTATGATAATAATACAGCTGGAGAAGTGTCAGCACCTGTGGCAGTGAGCCCTTGTAGACAGTAAACTCGGGGTTCCCCAGGACGCGGAGTCTAAGCCCCAGCCTTCTTCACCAGAGCCCCTGATGGTGGGGATGGACTTGTAGCAAGCTGGGACTAGGTCGCTGCCCCCAGGTACGCCCAGCTGAGGATGAGGAGAGCAGAGTACAATGGGAGGAGAAAAATGGAAATCTGATAGACTAGCCGAGGTCAGGACAGGCGGAAAACAAGCACAGTCAGAGAATGAAGCCGGGCATCGGTACACAAGTAGTCAATGCAGGTTACAGGCAATAGCAATACACAGGAGCTCCGACAACTAGGAAGTTGCTCAGGCAAAGTGGCC